TCCTGCCAGATAGATTGCATCGTCGACCACGCCGGCGGTTTGCCTCCGTTTCGATTAGCAGTCCTCAGGGGCTGGCTCGGCATCTTCGGCAGCTGGCTCATCCATCGCCAGCGAACCTCGGGACTTCCCGGCGGGACTCAACCACCTCCGCGGCCCCGCTCCCTGGGACATTTCGACGCGCGTCTCGGAGCGCCAACGCATGCAGATGTGCACGCCGCCAGACCGAGGAAGACCCGCTGCCGCCCGGCCGAGGAGACCCGCCGCCCAGGTGGGGAGACCCGCCGCGCTCCGCCGGCGTTGATGTCATCTGTCGCGTCGACGTCGGCCCGCTGTCGGCCGAGCGCCACTGCAGACGACGCCGTGGCAGGTCAAAATAGGTCAGCATGGATCACGGGGGCGGTGGCGGTCGGCCGCCGCTGCCGCGCCTCGCTTCCCTGTACCGCCACCACTGCCACCCCGCCTCCCTGTACCGCCGCCGCTACCGTCCCGCTTCCCTGTACTACCGCAGCTGCCGCGCCTCGCTTCCCTGTACTACCGCAGCTGCCGCCTCGCTTCCCTGTACCGCCGCCACTACCGCCTCGCTTCCCTGTACTACCGCAGCTGCCGCCTCGCTTCCCTGTACTTACCGCAGCTGCCGCCTCGCCTCCCTGTACCGCCGCACCTGCCACCTCGCTTCCCTGTACCGCCACACCTACCGTCCCGCTTCCCTGTACTACCGCAGCTGCCGCCTCGCTTCCCTGTACCCCCGCACCTGCCGCCTCGCTTCCCTGTACCGCTGCCGCTGCCGCCTCGCTTCCCCGTATCTCTGGATGATTATGCGAACGCATTTTTAGTTCCGCTCGAGAAATCATATTGCATATTGTTCTCGCGTGTTTCGCGGAAGATGTTAGGCGCGTTAGCACTCGTCTCCGCTGAACTGGATCGGCACTCGGCGCCATCTAATTTATCACGCCCAACAAGAATAGACGACGTTCGGATCCCCGAACGTGCTGCCAGTTTTAATGACTGCGCCACGCTAAAACACGGCAAAAATGCGGGCTGGGACCCTAACGAGCATGCCAACTACGGCGTCGGTAAGCAATGCAGCGATGTTAGCTGCCATCATTTCGATATTCCTGCGCTATTTCAGGGCCGATCGTCCTTTCCACGTCTTCGAGACGGGGTGTTTAACATCGACCCAACAAGCCGACGACGCGCAGGACCCACGGGCTGGCACCTGCAGGTGTAGTCCTACTTCGTCTGGGTCAGTAACTACTCCTCAAACAGTAAAAATAGCCTTCGTTAGCGCGGGGAGGCGAGCTTGTTGAGTGCCACCATTTGTGATGCCACAGAAAAACCGCTTGGCAGATTGGCACCAGGCGTCCAGGCTCCAGATCCCCAGCGAGAGTCACCGCGCGATGCAACGGCCAGCCCAGTCAGCCTCGGTCGCAAGAACGGGAAGACGGATGACGTGTCGGCCGAAGCGGACTTTTCTTTCTTCTTCGTTGGCATTTCCCCGATCGGCAGTCAGACCTCGCAGGAAACAGCATGCCAGCACAGGGGTGGGTCTCATCCCCGGAGGTTACCCAGAACGCTTCAAGGCACGACTGACCGTCTGCCGAATATCCACAGGGACTACCACGGCTCTCCTCTGAGCCCGACCGTGATCGGCTTCACACTGCCGATCGCCAAAAGCTGCAGCAGCACTCCAGAAGCCAGCTGCAATCTCAGCCAATCGCTGACGGCTGCAGCAGCAGTCCAGAAGCCTGCCGCAACCCCAGCTAATCGCCGACAGCTGCAGTCCCAGCCGATCGCCGACAGCTGGCGCAGCAGCCCAGAAGCCTGCCACAATCCCAGCAAATCGCCGACAGCTGCAATCCCAGCCGATCGCCGACAGCTGCAACAGCAGTCCAGAAGCCTGCTGTAATCCCAGCCAGGACCGCAGACACCGCAGGCGCCCCTCAGTGTAACGAAGTGACGTCCGCTAATAGGCTTTCAGCCCGCTCAGGGTACACTTTATCCATCACTTGTTCAATGAACGCGCCGGCGGCCGCGGGAGGGCGCTGAGGCCGGTCTCGGCCGACGGCTCTCGGCTGTGGCTGCTCGGTCAGATATCCGGTGACGTTGGCCGGTGCTTGGTAGCAGTCCGGCCTGGCCGTCTGGTACACCAGATGATAATACCCCGTGAAGGGAACGCTTAAACGATCAAAAGCGTTGTCTATGAAGTCCTCTCCCCACCTTCCCATCCAGTGCATTCTCGGTACTTTGTTCTATCAGCCCAGATTCTAAATGCGCATACCAGTCGTGAACCAACGTGCATCTTCAGCTGATAAGTCAGACCTGTGCGTGACGTGGATGTCCCACATGAAGTGAACCTCCAGCCACGAGTGCTGTGGCGGAACAGTACGACCTAAGCGGTGATCGGCAGAGGCGCGCGCGAGGCGCGCGTGTGTCGCTGGTTGCCGGCCGGTGCACGGGACTCTGCAGCCCAGTGGACAGAAACGCTGTTGGGACGGGAAGATGAGGCCGACGTCTTTGAATTGCTGAATAGGTGGATGACCTAAGTAAGCGTAGTCGTGCAGACGTTACAGAAGGTATTCAGTGCTATTAGTCTTCGTTGAAAACCAGAACACGTCGAAACCAGATCTACCCGACTACTACTGTGCCTCAACAGCAGTCACGTCCCAAGTCCTGCAAATGAATCAAATTTGCCGTACGCGTGCGTGTTAAAAAAAATACACAGGCCAGCCATTTCCGCATCACAATACCCTGACCTCAGACTCTTCTGTTCGCCAAGAATGCCCCAGGGGCTGAAGCAGCGGCCGCTGGCGGGTTCGACCAGGGCTGACACAGCGCAGCCACCTCGGGGTTAGAGGGCGACGAGGAAGCGAGGCGGCGGGGCGACACTCGCCCCGCGCGGTGGAGTCATGCGATGTGTTGGCAACAGCGCTGCAGCGTCAGCGGCACCCCTGGCGGCGCGCTGGCTCGGAGTCCGCACCCCAGAGTGGAGCCCGCAGAGGAGCTGTTCGCCGCGTCACACCCCTGGCGATATCTGGGGGTCCTGCGGTAAGCTACTCCACGAGACATCTAGCGGCAACTCAGAAAAACAGCTCCGGACGCGCTCTGCGCTAGGGAAGTCACATGATATTGCTTCTCCTGATGGCACAGGTAGCCAAGTCAAAAACGGTTATAGACATCAAGCTTCCAGTCTCGTTTCAGTCACACTCGTGCGTAGCATATATGTCATTGACATCACAGGTGCCTGAGTCCAGGCTCATCCTGGAAATGAAGATCCAATGCGGTGGCCCAGCGTTAAAGCCTCCGGGTAAAACACCAACCCGACCAGACAGAACATAGCAAACAGAAGGGTCGCAACAGTTGCAAAGGCCTGTCCCGGTCGAGCACGCCCAGAGCTCTGTAACAGTCCTCCAGGCGCTGAAACGCCAGCATGCCTTTTCAACCCAGCTGTCTCCAGTATGCCAGTGAGCGCCAATGCGTCTGTACCCCAGATCAGTGACATCGGCGCCGCTCCATGCTGGCTGTCAGCGCACACTGAAAGCGAGCGGCTATCGCGGGTCGTCAGCAATGTGATGGACACTGAAAGACGCCTGCCTGCCGCGGTCAAAGAGACGGACCTGACGGCGAGAGCTGCCAGGCTATGACAGCCGGAAGGGCTAATCTTTTCACGCAGCTCTAAGTGGTTGGCAAATGTGGTCGGCGCATTAAATTGTTGTGCATTAAAGGTATGGAGTGTCTCTAAGATCATTGTGTTAAATATTACAACTTGAGAAAACCGAGCGGACAATAACCGAAGAAATCATTCATATCACAAATCGTGCTGTAGACAACATATACTAAAAATAAGATACCACTGTCCTGAGCCGAAAACATAAGGCCTGCGTTAAATCCCAGAGGCTAAAGCGGGTTACCGTCGAAAAAATCGTTCTGGACGTCATAACATGAGATAAAGACAAGGGCACGGACGCGAAGCACCCTCTAACACAAAATCAAATAAGTTTTCGCAATGGTTGTAATGTAGTACCCAATTTCTAAAACGTTACCCGTTTGTGGCGGCGTTACAGCAACGATGACCGTCGCGTCGGGATCACGCGCTACGACTGATGCTCATGCTGGTGCCAACGTACCTTAAACGATTATAGCTTGTTTGTGCCACGTGCTATGACCACTGAAGCCCGCTGTTCAGCTCTCACTTACCAGATAGCCATACAAAGGTAATCCACGGACACGTCTGTCCGTCACGTTTAATCGTTGTTTGCCACCTGTCAATGCATGGGCTTCAGAATAAATCACCCCTCTCCGAAAATAAATTTAAGGAGATCGCTGGAGCAGACATCCAAGAAAGCCGCACATTTTTCCGAACAGATGCACGGCGATTCAAAAGCAAATACAAGCAAGATAAAGATGTGCGTTTATAAAAGTCATCTTCAGACGCAGCATGTATCTCCAGACATCCGTGGAAGTTTATGCACAATTTACCAAGAGGTCACAGAGCAGGCCTGCCGTGTTATGCGGCAGGCCTACGCAACAAGGCGGGAGGAATGCTGCTGCGTCAAGCCACGTCACCGCTGGCAGTGCGAACACGTCAAAGCGTCCGCCCAGTTTCATTCGGCCGTCGCTGGGCGGCAGCAGCGGCGCAGTGAGCACCGTCGGGCGCGCGGCACAGGCGGACCTCCGCTCCTCCGGCCGGCGTCGAGTCCGCACCGGCTCGGCGAGCGGCCCCGGGACCAGGCGGCAGCAGCGGCGCAGTGACCACCGTCGGGCGCGCGGCACAGGCGGACCTCCGCTCCTCCGGCCGGCGTCGAGTCCGCACCGGCTCGGCGAGCGGCCCCGTGACCAGGCGGCAGCAGCGGCGCAGTGAACATCGTCGGGCGCGCGGCACAGGCGGACCTCCGCTCCTCCGGCCGGCGCCGAGTCCACACCGGCTCGGCGAGCGGCCCCGTGACCAGCCCAGAGTCCCGCCGGGCACTCCGACACTCCGACACTCCCCAGCCGGCGCCGCCTCAGCGCTGCACCGGCAGCGGGTGCTGCTGCAGGTCCTCGGCCAGTTCCTGCGGGCGTGGGGCAGCGGGGCCGGGCTGGCGCGCGGCCGCGTCCCTCCAGCGGACGGCCAGCGCCGAGTGCTCGCCGCCCAGCAGCAGCAGCTCGGCCGTGTGCCGCCGCCTCAGGTGGACCCAGAAGTTGCCGCTGGAGCTGGGCGCGCCGCGGATGACGCGCTGACAGAAGCGGCAGGAGGCGGACCACTCCGACAGCTTGTTGTAGTAGTGCCAGACGGGCGGCAGTCTGGACCGGCCGCGCCGCGCCGCGCCTGCAACAGACGGGTCGCGCACGTCACGGCAGTCGACCCGGCGCGGGAGACGGCGCGCCGCCGCCGCGGCGACAGCCGGCGCGGACTCGGCCGCCCGTCGGCGACGCGGGAGACGCCCAACGGCAGAACCGGCACCCGGCGCCCAGACCAGCGGCAAGTCAAGGGAGACATCCGCGTCAGAGGGCGGCGGGCTACAGAGATCTGACGGCGCGAGGCAAGCGCACGACCAGCAGGCGCCGTCGATTCAGCGGACCAACCAGCGACCATCACGGACACAGCGACCCGGGGCAGTGGACGTGCCAGCGCTCATAGACTCCGATCGAGAGACCAGCCCTCTAAAGAGACCAACCATCGGCGTGATGTGCCAAAAGGACCACCGCTGCAGACTCCGCGGACCAAACCGTCATAGACCAAGATGAGCCAAACGGTCAGAGGCCGTGGACGAACCATTGATAGCCACCGACTCAGCGATCCCAGAAAGAGGGCTAGCCAATGGCAAGTAGAAGGTCCAAGCCGACGTTCCGGGTCAACAGACCAGCTGGTGCTCGTCATAGTCTCTGCAATCGCAGGCAGCGATTAGCGCACTGATAACCACGTCCTCAGTAATCTCAACCAGCGCAGAAACCGCAGACCACCGCAAACCAGCGCACAAACCGCGGACCACCGCAAACCAGCGCACAAACCGCAGACCACCGAAAACCAGCGCACAAACCGCGGACCACCGCAAACCAGCGCACATACCGCAGACCACCGCAAACCAGCGCACAAACCGCGGACCACCGCAAACCAGCGCACAAACCGCAGACCACCGCAAATTAGCGCACAAACCGCAGACCATCGCGAACCCGGCGCCCAGCAAGGCGCTGAGCAGTTACCACGCGCGGGAGATGGAACAAGCCGCAGCCGGCGCAGCGGTGTCGATGTCCAACTTTTGACGACCGCTCCCGACAGACCAGGGCGCAGTTCCACCGCTGGCAGAGTGACGCCTCTGGCGCACTGGCCGTGGTCACATTCCCTTTTCCGCCAGACTGGGCGGGGACTGACGGCTCGCCTCTGATGGACTGACCGGCGACCATGGTTCCACCCAAGGCAGCCTCGACTCTGACACTGACCTGGATCACTAGCTGATCAGACTGGTGACTGGTCACTGCCAGACTGGTCCGGGCCGCCAGTTCACCTCTGCCAGACTACAGTGACCCAGGTGACCGACTGTAGCAGCCACCGCACGCCGAACGCTCCGACGCTTACTGCTCGGTCGACACGCAGCTGCGATCCGTGCCAACCTGGACCAGGACGCTGGCGCCGTCGACAAAGTACGCGCCATCGGCGCCGTCCTCTTGCGCAGGCGAGACCAGGACATGTTGCGTGTGGTGAAAACCAAGCCGGCGTTTTACCCGTCACCGTTTGGGGCTTAGAACATCACTAGCTCGGCCCCAGACCCGTGAGATTTCCTTCAGGGTTGTGCTCGCGGATCAAAACTGCTGTATCGCACTGGTTCCAAAGCTGCACGGCTGCTGTTACAGTTGTAACATATTCCGAAAGCGTCATCCACTTTTGATTGAATGAGAGGTATATTGCATTACCTGTGACTGTGACATAATCTAGCCTCTGGACAGGTGTCAAGCGTTTTCTTAAATGAATGAGTGACCCGAGTGGTTACCAGTTAGCATCAACTGGCATCAATAGCTCCGACCCGGTGGCTGGACAATGGGATATCACGACTTGAGGTAAAATATAGCGAATCCACGCAAGCGATCAGACAGTCGCCTCACTTGGTCGCCATTGGCAGCACTCGCACGCGACGACCCATGACACAACTTCTCCACAAGCGTATTTCAATGCTCTTTTGTAATCGAGAGCTAACGCAGCACACAAGAGATCTGCCGTCCCCATGCCATCTTCATAGCCACGGGTCGCCAGGGAAGCACGCTATCATCCCAATGATCATACCCGGTGGCATGGCGACTGAGGTCAGGCTTTTCCATACGGGTGGATCGTACCGGGAAATGCAAAATGCTACGATGACAGGAGACGGACGGGGGGGGGGGGGGGGGCACCACCGCCCTACCAACGCAGAGTGCAGTTGCCGGTCAGTCAGAAACACTCGGAAGCATCATCCATGCTTTGCCTAACACCGTCCTAGAGGAAAGTCAGGGCAGCTGACTTCTCCGCTTGCCAGATTCCGACCGCCACTGAACGTGCCGCCGCACGCGGCGTCAAAGGCGCTGTGAACGCCGTCAACCGTTCCGGCGGCCGTAACCTCGGAAAGACCACCGCGAAGCCGCGTCCCAGAGCAGCGCTCGGCACGGCGCCGCGGTGGACCGCTTGGAGGCCGCGCCTCCGTCACCAGCCAGGCTTTGGACGGGGCCCGCGGACCGCTCCTGCGCGCTCCGGGTGCTGCGGTGGGCATACCGCACTCACTTTCGATCGCATGAACTGGTATTTCTGTCTCATATACGAAACGATAGACTACTCAGCATGGCAAGTTAGTATGTAAAGAGTGTCACTGATCTCAGAAAGACGGCCAGCATGTGATTGTGGATATATTCAACTAAAACAGCACGTTTTCCATAACCGTGAAGACAAAGCATCATAAAAAGTATTTGGTACTTGGTCATAATGTACGTCATATGACAGTGCACACAGCACGCACTGCGCGCGGGTGCACAGCCAGCGGAGGTCACGGACTGCCTGAGCACACGACCCGGCGGCCTTCGTCGCCACCACACCCCCAGTCAGCCCCGCACACGGAGCCACCAGCTGGAGACGCAGCAGCACACACCGCCAGCGTCGTCCCTTCGCGCCAACGTTCGTCAGAGCCGCCCGCGGCCGGACGCCCCGTCGTCGCCGTCGTCAGGGCTTTGCGACGCGCGCAGCCGCTGCGACTGCATCGCGTCGCCTGCCTTTCAATCCGGCGGGAAGGGCGGCACCGCGGGAACCCGAACCGCGTCCTTCCGGTTTCCCCACGCGCAGCTGAGCTGAACCACTACATCATCGGTACCCCTAATCGAACGGCTCTGGTCAGCGCGCTGCCCCGGGCGGCCAGACCGGCCGAGCCATCAGCGTCCTGCGGTCACCACAGACCGCCGCCGCCGCCGCCGCCGCCGCGCCGGCGTCAGAGCAGGTCGGCGCGCGCGGCGCCCCCCGGCGTCGCCCAGAGCAGGTCGGCGGCGGGCGCAGCGCACTCGCCGGGCCAGCCGGCCGACAGCGCCGCCGGCAGCACGGCCTCGCAGTGTTTGACGCGCATGTGCCGCCACAGGCCGGAGGTGGACAGCTGCCGGTTCAGGCGCACCGACGCGCCGCACAGCCGACACAGCCGGTCGCGGCCGTCGCCCGAGAAGTACTCGCGCACCAGAGAGCGGGCGGGCGCCGCCAGCCGGCCCGGCGACCCGACCGCCGCCGCCGCCCGCCGCCGCCGTTGCGCCGCCCCTGTCTGCAACACAGGGCGGCTGTCACGAGGGCGGCGGTGGCGGCGGCCGGACGACACAGCCGAGGGCGCGGCTGCGGTCGCACGCGACGAGAACGCGCCGCCCGCGGTCAGAACAGCCCCGAGCCGAGTGGCGACGGTGCCTGATCTCCGCCTGATCGCCCTTTCATAACGCACGGGAACACGGGAGCGTTCCCGAATGCCAGAACACTCGGTGCCGCTCTACATGGCAGCGAGGGGTACGTTTGTCCTGGCCCGAATCACCACCGACACGCGATCCAGACCACACGGTGTCAAATGAGAACCACGACCCCTCCTCCGCACGCTCGCCATCAGTGGCAACGCGTGTCATGACCCGCCCCTCCCGTCCCACGTCTCCCGGGAAGCTGAGGGGACCTCGGGAGGCTTCATCCCAGCTGCGGCGGCCTGAGACCGGACCGCGGGGACCCGCCCCCGCCCCCCTTACCCAGCCGTGGGGTCTCTCTGTCGGCACCCAGACCGCGCCCACCGCGGCAGAGCGGGCGGCGCGGCTGGTGCCTCGGCTCGAGCGGCGGGCGGCGAGATGTTGCGGTAGGGCAGGGTCAGATGGCTCCAACTCGTGCCCAGTGGTGTAAAGAGCAGGGCAGCCCAGGCCAATAGTGGGCAGCGCTCAGAAAATGCGAAGCCAAAAACCCTTTCCACAATGACTGCCAGCCTCCCAGCCTCCGACAGACGAGGTGGGACTAAGGACACGGGCCAGGGACGTGCGTGGGTGACTACGTACGCCTTTCTAAAGGACAAGAATTCCCGAGGGCCTGGTGGGGCTGGATCAGAGTGGCTTTGATTGGCACGTGTGACCACCACTTATGTTGCACAGGGCAGTACTTACTTGCTGGTGTTCCTCCGTCTCCGTGCCCCACTTGTACCATCGAGTGACCTGAAACCGAGGCGAAACGTCACGATCGCGGAATCCACACAACACGGACGCGTCCCAAAAACGCTGGGGGCGCTCACGCTGACAGTCACGCCTGGACAAGAATCCCCTCTCTCAGAAAACTCACAGGAAGTCGGTTAGTCCTTAAACCCAGCGTCAAATCTGACGCAACCGTTTCCCAAAACGGTTGGGCCTCCGGCAGTGAGCTAAGTACAACATAGCCGCCTCCGCCGCGCCAGCAGCAGCACGACATGACCCCAGCCAGCAGGTCTCTCGCCTCCTAAGTACGACATAGCCGCCTCCGCTGCGCCAGCAGCATCACGACATGGCCCCAGCCAGCAGGTCTCCTCGCCTCCTAAGTACGACATAGCCGCCTCCGCCGCGCCAGCAGCATCCCGACATGGCCCCAGCCAGCAGGTCTCTCGCCTCCTAAGTACGACATAGCCGCCTCCGCCGCGTCAGCACCACCACGACGCGGCCCCAGCCAGCAGGTCTCTCGCCTCCTACCGCACAGACATCGCGTCGCAGTACAGGCCACACTCCGCCCACCCGTCACCTCCGTCACAGCCCACCAAGCTGACCAGCACCCGTGCCCGGTGAGCGGCGGCGGTCCTCGTGCCAACGCGTACCTTCAACGCCGGGAGGCTCCAGGCCCGGCACCGGCTCCAGGTGCTCGCCGCCGTCCGGTTCTAGCAGCTCGTCCAGCTCGTCCAGCATCTCCGTCGGCTCCGACTTCACGTTCAGGTCGATGTTGATGGTGGAGGGCACGGCGCGGGCCGGCTCGGGACGGCGCCGTTTGGCCGCCGGCGAGCAGGCTGGACCGGGGTCAGCCGGCGGCGGCCGCGACGGCGTCGCCTTCTGGCCACAGGACGCGGGTCACCGTTTAAATGGCCCGCCACAACAAGTATCCATTTCGCTCTGGAGGTGATGACGATGGAGTTCATTGCTCGAAGTTCTGCGCGTTGGAAGACGCGTTCAAGAAAAGAAGGTGCTAGAACGTCTAACACTCACCAGCAGCACCGATTTAACCACCTACTGACAATGAACAGATGCAAAACACTGCGCCACACAGCATCGGCCGCTACGCCTTGTCCACCAAACGAGATAGGGCGGCAAGTTTGCACCGGGCCAGCGGGCGCACCTTATCGGCGTTCCTCTTGGTCTCCCTCGTCGGCCAGACCCTGGATGGAGAAGGCCTCGGCCACCTGCAGGAAGACGCCCAGCTGCGCCTGCTGCACGTTCACCTGGCCCTGGTACATGAACTCGAGGATGGCCTGCATCACCTCCCACTCGACGGTGGGCAACACGATGACCGGGTGCTGCTGCGGCGGTATTGCCTGCCGGGCGCGCGCCACAACAGTCAGTCACGTCGCCCACACGACCACTCGACGCGTCTGCAGATGCAGGCCAGCCTAATAACGTCGCCAGCGTCGATCACCGTTCCACTGTCTCCTGTGAATGTACAGACTGGCACATAGAAATGCAATGATTGTTTCGAGAATGTTCAAAATGCAAAATGCAAATAAAAAATGTTTGTTTCAAAAAAGTTCGGGGCCCCACATCTTTTTATTCTTTTGTGAGGCAAGGATGTTTCATAGCTTTCAAAACTTTTTTGTCGGCCCAAAATCTATCTCCGAAGCTATCTCACCGAATTTTGTGAGCGAAAAAAAGTACAAACTCCAGATCTATGCCATAGGCTTCGTTTAAAAATTACAACTAAAAAAAGGTCTTTCACAAGTGCAATGCGGGCTGCTGAAGGTCGAGACCATATCAAGATTATCTCGTTCGCTTTTCAATACCACAGGAGGGATGGCAGCTTCCCGCGTAAAATGCGCCTCAGCTATTACCTCGCTCTGCGCATGACAAGAGCACAATCTTCACATGTTACCCGTGACATGAATCTAGAGCAGTGCATGGACTACTATTGACCTCCCTGAGCTTACCCTGAGGATGTCTTTGAAGTGTGAGGAGCAGGCGGAGAGTATGACCCGATGGGCCCTGAGCAGCTTGCCGGAGCACGATATGGTAACGTCCGTGAACGTTTCATCCCCACGCAGAGCGTCCAGCGACAGGTGGAAGTTGCTGTGGAAATTGTTCCAGCGCAGGCAGAACTCCTGACCATCTGACATGGTGGATCTGAAATGTCAAATAGCTCTTATAATATGCATGGTTGATCGGATGCACGGCTCACACAAACCATTGTCCCAGAAGCTTGCCATAGGGGTGGAAAATGATGTCAAAATAACGATAGTTTCTCAATTCTGTCTCCTCAAGTTGTGCTACAATTGCCCATCACTAAAAAATAACTTGTGGTCAAACAATCTACACGGAGCAAAGAAGCGAAGGCCGACAGCTTGTGTTACACATGAAAGACGTCACAAATTCTCGTAGTTTCCGATCCTGTTTGATGATGGTCGTTATTACCAGCATGTGTAGGACCAGCCTTACCTCGATGCAACCAGAATAGAAATAAACTGCACTTCTGTGACAAATCACAAGTTTCCTATGACAATTTCTGTAACCAAACTAGCATTTCAGTCTACAACTAATCACAAGCAAGAGTTGACATGCGCCTGGGTGACTGGTTGGATATCATTTGCTCAGGTGGGGGTCAATTTGACCTCCCTGAGATCTCAGAAACTAAGAAGGCTTGGGACACCAAATTCAGAGGGTATGTTGGAATGTACGTGAACTCACTCCGGACAAAGTCTGAGCCTTTCAGTGACCTTGCTTGACCTTTTGAAGGTCACAGTGACCAAAATCATACAAGACTGCTTTGAGCTTTGCATTTGAATAAACAATGGTTGCACTAGGCAGTATATTCCCAAAAACGAAATGCTGACCTGTGTCATTTTGTGTCAGTGACCTATGCTGACCTTTAGGAAGTCCATGGAAGGTGCATAATGTGGTCCCTGTTATCAATAAATTTGAAATAAGCACCAGAAACTACCCCATACAGTAAGCAATAGAGAAACAAAACATGTTGGTTTTTACCTGGTCTGACCTTCATATTTTACCCTAAGTCAATGCGATGCACTCATTCCATTGTTGTGTTGCCTAAGAAAGCATCTCAGAGATGTCCGGATTCAGCTAACATTCCGTTGTTGGACCGGAACAATTCCCTAGCAATTGCCTTTGCTGAAACCATGATCTGACTCTGACCTGCCGTAAGTCAGTAACCTTACAAAGTGCATCTAAATTTTTGACACCAAATGATCCACCATTCATTGTCTACAGCTATCCAAAATTTGGCGCAGTTACGCCGCACCGTTCGGAGACCATTCCGGAAAAACCTTTGGATGGGGGGGGGGGGGGCAATTTGACCCCCACCGGAATGTGTGTTAAATTGCCACCAATGCATTGTCTTCTGCTGTAATGTTAGTGACTCATCACTGCCACAACACAAAACAATACTTCTATGTAATTGAGCATGGTTCATGCTTTACGTACTGCAAGTTCTCAAAACTATGTAAGTACAAAATAACTGAGAACAGTACAATAGTACAATAAGTAATAAACTGAGACAATAAGATGGCCTGACAGTACTCAAGACTCAAAACTCACTTAAGGCAATGAGAGGGTGTGACATAAGTCAGAAAAGAGCCATAACTTGAGAAAGATTCACAAAAATGAAGATGATTATCAAATATGCATCACATATATATTTTCCCAAGTGAGACACATCTTTCAATGAAAAGTGGAGCGTGGTACATGTTGTTGCGCATCCTTTCATGGAGCACCAGTGACTGCCAAAATCATATCAGCAATCATGGATTGTGGCTCTACTGGAATATGAGCCCATCCCCATCCCTCACATGGAAGCCATAAGTGTTAATTGGATGCTTCATAATTTCGCTATGCCTAAAGCACCAGCATTAGCACAATCCACACCATTCTAGCATATTTGTGTAACTTGATACCAAAATGGTTTTCACATTGTATGAGATAGTATCTACCACTGGGAAAAATGTGACTACTTGGCATAATTTGTAGGGGAAAACCATCCATGGAACACCCCAAACAGAAGCACACATAAAAGAGGCTCCAAATGATATGCTTGCCTTCTTTTCCTCCCTGTCATTTGCATGCAGTTATGCTTGTGGTCTAATACCCTTGCCAGCTGCCAATGGATGTTGGGTTATGCATACTGGCAGCAGGAACCAATTAAGGCCTTGAGAAGGCTTAATCAGCACATTTTTCTCAATTTCATGGTGTTCAGCACCATCATATATACCTTTGTGAACAGTTTCACCACATAGTATGTCAGAAAATATTACTGAATTACAATAAGCAAATGCAGCAACAAAAAGGAGAAAAAATCATAACAAGAAAAAGTATCTCAATACATATTTTATCAATAGAAATACTATGGGATAACACTTTCAGTATTAAGTAAGTCGCAAACAGCTTTCAGCATTAGATGACCCACAGCACACTCAAAGCCACAAATTACAGCTCAAATAAGGTTGTACATATTATTTACTTCCCACAGGATACAGGTAGCTATAATGAGGTTAAATGAGGCATGCATTATACTAGTGGGTGAATTGGTTACTACACAAGGAAAACCAGATAAACAGTGATGTTGAGGTGATGAGAAACCTGACTTTGATGAAAAGTAATAATCTGGAACATGATATTATTGGAAATATAAACCTTCAAAACAGAGCTGACGGACTACTAACTATTTAGCATAACCAACATTCCAGTTTCCCTAGTTGATGACATTGGCATCAACCCCACAATGTGTAACCTAACCATGAGACCTTGTGCATCATTTGAAGGCAGTTACAAACATCTGCACCATCAACTAATCTGCTGTAAGCTCATCTTTCCAATATCCTAACCTATGTGATCTCCCCACATATTGTGCAGGCTGTTAGCTATCCAGATGGAAACACCCTGTTCAACCTTGCAAATCATAACAATTAAAAAGTGTGAACATTCCCAAGAGTCATAAGATGTATCAAAGGCACTGTGAAAAACGTCGCAGACACAGTCCAGTGCAACAATCCCCACTCCGAAGCATGTCCCAAATTTCACCTTATGCACGTATTGGCGTCCGTATCTGTACAAATTCCGTTGGCAGATTCTCCACTCTAAAATATTCACCGTGTGTTATTGTAAATCTCGAGAATAGCATCAATCTGAGGGAGGTCTTGCGATCCCCTCGCAAGTCGCAAAAACTTAGCTGACGATGTCGTCGAACGCAATGGTCAAAACCAAGCGGAGAAATCGCAGCAAGCAGTGCAGACAAATGTGACGCATAGGAGATACCGGAGGGAGATACTGGCAGATACAATTGGTTCAATATCTTGAAGTGGTCCGCACCGGAAGCTATGAGCCACGCTCCAGAAATGATGAAAATAAGCCCATTTTTAAACTGTTGACATGCTTTTAAGTAGTGAAGACTGCTCTAAGGAACACAATCTTTATATCTGGCGAATACACTCATCAATACGCCACTGAGTGATCGAGTCATGGAATGCTTGTAGAACAGCACTCATCTGTGGTCCTTCAATCTGGGAGATGGCACGCGGCGCCAGTGACCCAGGTCAATGCGCGGCACTGTTAATGTGGGCTGAACCAAATATCGTTGGGTACTGGTGTTTTGGCCTTTCCGCGTGGTGTACGTACATAGTTTTTCGCGCGTTTGAGGTGCCTCCTCGTATTCGCGAACTCGGTTATGGCGATATCAGATTCATTTACAAATATAAGGTCTGTAACAACCGGGAAGAATATTAAGTTATTGGGTCATGCAGCACAAAAATTAATTCGTGTGGGAAACTAATATTTCATGTGGCACTTACAGGCTAAAGCTCAGCAGTTGGTCCCCGTGGCCAGTGAAGCCCCGTCTCAATGTTCTCCATTCTCCTTCATTCTATAGCCCTGCAATGGTCATTACTGGTCGAAAGGTCTCTCATCCAAATAACCACTTGCGTTAAAACTTTGCCTAGCTGGCACAAGATTGATTGAGAGGCAATTGACGATAGTTGTATCCGGAATCGTGCTCACGAATGCCAGATATTAGCGACTCGACGATTATATTTGTATTGACCTAAACGACGCATGGCCGGTGGGATGGGGAGGGGGTTGAATGGCGTTATTACGGCGTTATGGATGTCTGGGCAACCTTGAAGTAGCCTTCACGAAAAAGTTTGCTCATCCTTGCGGGCGTTTAGCTCAGAAACTAGACGATTTTGGGTATTAAGAAGGACAGGGCTGTGAACTGCAATGAATGATCTTCAAAATGGATATTTCAGTTCAAAACTCCATTTAAATGTCGAACACTCCATTTAAAACACCGCCCGTATAGAAATAACTGGTCTTTTTCTAAGAGACGCCTTCGTGGTCCAACACAAGATAAGCGCATAAGTTAGTGTGCAGCGATGATCACCTGGCAGCAAACGAGTATGGGGGGGGGGGGGGGGCAGGTTATGCTCCCGGAGCTGCCAGCGCAGAGGGAGCTACGGGTCCTAAATCCAACTCGTCCAATGCGGACTACTGACTTGAAAGCCACATTGCGTGATACAGGAAGCGGTCGAAACTGTTGTAAAGGCAGATATTTCATTCACCAACGCCATAATGGCAAAACGCAGCACAGTGGCTTAACGGAAAATATAATGCTGTTATAGTCGCTGATGAAGTGGTGAGATAAACCGTTACATTTATTGACACGCGGTAGAGTGGGGGTCAGTTTGACCCCAGCCCCCCCTCCCCTCCCAAAGGTTCCTCCGGAATGGTTTCCGAACGGCGCGGCAGTGCTGTAGATAACTGAAAAGCCGATCGATTGACATGAAAAATGTAGGCGTACCTTGTAAGGTGGCTGACCTGTGGCACGTCCAAGTCAGGCCATAGATTCAGCGAAGACGATTCCTAGAGAGACGTTCAATCTGATGCAACGACATAATGATAGACGAAGCCATATATCTCTGATATAGTTTCTCAAGCAGTCCATTGACCTAGGGTCAGGCATGAAGGTCAGACCTAGATGAAAACCAACTTGCTGTATTACTCTAGGGCTTCCTGTATGTCGCAGTTTGCTGGCATTCATTTCCAATTTATTGATAACAGAAACCACGCTATACATTTTCCATAGACTTCTTGAAGGTCAGAATAGGTCAATACCTGGAAGTGACCTTGGTCAACATTTTTTTAGGAGCATAGTCGTCTAGCGTAACCCTTGACGAGTGTTAAAATGCAAAAGCCTAAGTAGTCTTGTATTATTTGGGTTACCATAACGTCAGAAAGGTAAAACAAGGTCACTGACCTTAAACAAGAACCAGTTACCCTTTGCTTAGAACAGGTACCCATGTTCTGGGGCACTTTGGACACCCGTCCGGAGTTTGACCTTGTTTGGCCTTATCTGACCTGAAGGTTGTGACCTAAGATTCCCGAAATTTGACAAGTAAGTTCACGTACAGGCCAATACGGCATGAATTTTGTGTCTCTAATATCGGGGATCAAACTGACTACACACCCGAGCGAAGGGTATTCAACCGGCCACCAGGGCGCGTGTTATGACCCCAACGGCTAGCCGCGTTTGCATTCAGTCCCACGTGCAGCTTCAACCAACTGCGTTATTTCGAGAAGCAGCTCAGATTCGAAGGTTTTTCCCAGTGCCCTTGGGTATGGGAGGAAGAGGCCTCCTGGGTGTGTGACAAGTTCGGGGGGAACTTAGCGAGGCCTGCCTCCTGAATTTTGCCTAAATGGGCTTTTGCCCGTCAACAGCAGTGGGTTAAAATGACGTTTCTTTAATTGTTGTCACTTTCAACGTTTTTGCAGGTCAGATCGCCTCCCAAATCGTGATAGCGCGGTGTTAAACTAGCACCGATTTTCGCATTCGGCCAAAATTGACGTACCCTTCCTTGTGACTTAGACTCGGTCAGCATATCGGCCATAGCTAAAAAAACAATCGCGCTTTTGCATTGCACCACATTCATGCTATCTTGTGGTAAAATAGTTGACCCCTTGAACCCAGTAATTATAAATCCCCAAATATGCACCTATGCCGAGTCCCGTCACCCAAGCACCAAGGTTACAAAGTCAAAATTTCACCGACACCGAAACGCGGTCTGGGTTAGGTAACGTCAGGATGGAGACCTCGATACACGGCTCTCAAAAGCCAATGCCCTTTAAAAAGAATGCTGATTAAAAACAAAAACAAAACGGTAGCGAATTGTTCCTACAACTCAGACGTGTGGAATGCTGAACCCAGTTTCCATGCATTGCAAAATGCTACCGCCATAGGTCACGATATATGTGGTCGACATTTGACAAAGGCAATAATGTCGGTCGTGGCCACTAGCAAATGTTGCAATGAAATACATCACGTCCCACTAAGTCACCACTAAGGCCTAAGTGCCACGTGCCACTGCTTCTACGACCTAGAGGATGGTGGGATAATGTGGACATGCTAAGCCTGTTGTATCTAGGCGCCATCAGTTTGGGTTCACATTAGCGCCGTTTGGCGTCGATCGAAAGCAGAAAAACAACACTCGAGGATTCAGTCGCATCGAGTTATGTCGGGTTCATGTAGGTATGCACGTGTTCTTCTCTTTAATGTGTAGTCTTGCCAGGTAGTGCCCTGTTATATGGCCGAAATCTTTGGGCACATTTCCCCCTCGCTCCTCTCTATGCAGCCTAAATTATCTGCCGTCTTTTCCGCTGTTCAACTCATGCAGTGCCAGTGCCGCCGGATCCCGCTGCTAATGTTATCATGCTCAAATCAACTAAGCGTACAGCTCGTCGGCCCTGACCTCACGCCTATGCAGTCCAGAAGTGATGTCTCTGCACGATATTGACGTCCGGTTAATGCTGTACTACTGGGAACGAGTGTCCTTAACGTCGCGCCGCAGAAGACCTGACAATACCAGACATAATCAGTCCCGCACTCTTTTCTCCGTTTTCGACACCGCACGCCTGCATGCGATGTCGCCATTACGGCGCACTAACGGCGCCGTAATGGCGCACCGGGTCGCCGCCGGCTCGTTGTCGGCTCACCTTCCAGATAGACTTCGGGTCTCCGGCTCAGCCGGCTAGTGATTCCTTTCCCTCATTGGGAAGGCATTGCTAGAGAATTGCTGCCACACTCAACTGGCAATAGGAACGCTTAACAAATAGCACACTGAGGGGGCGCTGATCAACGCGCAAGATAGAAAACGGCGATTTATGGGAGTCAGGCTGTCGGTTTGGGTACCTCCCATTATAGAGTTGTTCAGTGATCAGTTTTGATCAGTGGTCAGTGATCAGTTGATCAGTTGATCAGTGTCCACCGGTACGCAGGCACGGTCGGGCACTGGCAACCACTGACTTATGTCTGTCGTTCCTATTGAACTGTACCAAGACCAAGACTGTAGACCAAGACCAAGACCAACTGTACCAAGAAGGTGAAGCAAGGTCAATGAAGACTTTTCTCTTTTTCCTGAAACTTCTCCCACTGGTATGTCCCTGCATGGCTGAAGATCATGCGGGGTCAGCGGATGACAACCTCGACAAAAACATAGAAATAAATACGGGCGTTTGTATCTTGATTTCATTTAGCGAAGCCATTTTCCTCACCCACGTGCCTAATTGATCCCGGCACGAATTGAATTCGGACATTCGATGTTGGCTCCTTTGTTCGACCGTAGTACCAACAAGGAGCACACGTTCGAAACGAATCAAGTGCATTTGTATAAGCACTGAATGGGCTGTCAAACGACACAAAACACACACATGTATATTTAATTATACCTACACCTTCCTACCTACACTCAAAAGCAGATGAACTTGGCTACGTTGAATGAGGGGCAAATAAGTGCCCGGTGAGCCAGTTCATGCCAAAGGGGAGCAGCTTCCCGACAACTTATTTTCTGCTGTTGTGTGGTGTAAGGGAAAATAATTTGGAAATGGATACTGCAACGGGTGTCCGATATATGCTTAACATATTGATAAGGAATGATACTGACCTATAAAAATGCAGCAAGGCGGTCATACGATCAGTTCGCAGTCCGTCATGCGGGAGACAGCCAGGGCAGAGCAGTGGCCGCCGGCGACGAACGGGAGTAGGGCTCAGACAAGAAATATCTGAAAGAAGGGCCTTCATTTTTGGCTTTGTTTGAGCAGAAGAAACAAATTGCTATAACTGTTTTTTGGAATTTAGTGTTAGAAGCTTCCGAATT